CTTGTGTGATCCCACTGCCCGCAAAGTGATCATTAGCAGGGATGTTATCTTTGTAGAAGATAAACTACAAAGAAAAGAAGATGATGATAGCGCTGAAAAGTCAGAGATTACTCAGATACATGTGGAAAAAGAGTTTGAAGAAGGAGATTCTTCTGAAGCAGAACCAGTACATGATGAACAAGAACCAGAGAGTTCTGAAGCTCCAACAACTCGTCAATCAGATCGTGTGAGAAGACGTCCCAATTGGCACTCAGATTATGTTATAGAAGGTAATATTGCATACTGCCTTTTAAAAGAGGACGGTGAGCCATCAACATACCAGGAGGCAATAAACAGCTCAGATGCTTCACTGTGGATGATGGCGATGCAAGAAGAAATCGAAGCCCTTCATAAAAATAATACATGGGACCTTGTGCCACTACCACAAGGAAGGAAGCCAATTGATAACAAATGGGTTTTCAAAATCAAGCAAAATGGTGACGATCAAGTTGAGAGGTATCGTGCAAGACTGGTGGTCAAAGGATATGCTCAAAAAGAATGTATTGATTTCAATGAAATATTTTCTCATGTGGTTCGACTAACAATAGTTCGAGTAGTTTTGGCAATGTGTGCTACATTTAACTTACATCTAGAGCAGCTAGATGTTAAAACAGCTTTTCTTCATGGAAATCTTGAAGAAGAGATTTATATGCTCCAGCCTGAAGGTTTTGAAGAAGACGAAAAGAAGAACTTGGTTTGCAGGTTGAACAAATCTCTATATGGTCTAAAGCAGGCGCCGAGGTGTTGGTATAAGAGATTTGATTCCTTCATTATGTGCCTTGGATACAACAAACTTAATGCAGACCCTTGTGCTTATTTCAAGAGGTCTGGTGATAACGATTTTGTTATATTGCTGTTGTATGTGGATGACATGTTGGTTGCAGGACCCAACAAAGATCATATTGAAGAATTGAAGGCACAACTGGCTAGGGAATTTGAAATGAAGGACTTGGGATCAGCAAACAAGATTCTAGGGATGGAAATTCACCGAGACAGAAGTAATAGGAAGATTTGGCTTTCACAAAAGAATTACTTGAAGAAAATCTTGTCACGATTTAGCATGCAAGATTGTAAGCCAATTTCTACCCCTCTTCCTATTAACTTCAAATTATCCTCCAGTATGAGTCCTGGTAGTGAAGAAGAGAGGATGAAGATGTCTCGAGTACCGTATGCATAAGCAGTGGGAAGTTTAATGTTCGCTATGATATGCACAAGACCAGACATTGCACAAGCAGTGGGAGTGGTTAGTCGGTACATGGCGAATCCAGGAAAAGAGCATTGAAATATTGTAAAGAGGATCCTAAGATACATCAAAGGGACCTCAAATGTTGCATTATATTACGGAGGATCAAACTTACTAATCAATGGGTATGTAGATTCTGACTATGCAGGGGATTTAGATAAAAGCAAATCTACTACAGGATATGTGTTCAAAGTTGCTGGTGGAGCTATAAGCTGGGTTTCAAAATTGCAGTCAGTTGTGGCTACGTCCACAACAGAGTCAGAATATGTAGCAGCTACACAAGCCAGTAAAGAAGCAATTTGGTTGAAGATGCTATTGGATGAGCTTGGGCACAATCAAGAGTATGTCTCTCTGTTTTGTGACAGTCAAAGCGCCTTGCATCTAGCAAGGAATCCAGCATTTCATTCAAGGACTAAGCACATACGAGTTCAGTATCATTTCATTCGTGAAAAGGTGGAAGAAGGAACGGTAGATATGCAGAAGATCCATACCAAAGACAACATAGCAGATTTCATGACGAAGGCAATCAATGCTGATAAATTTACCTGGTGTCGATCCTCCTGTGGCCTGTCAGAAACGTAAGCAACATGAAAGGTACAAGGTAGAAAGAATGGTATGAAGATATGATTGTTCCAATCAAATCTTCAAGTGGGAGATTGTTGAAAATTGGCACACCAAATTGCATCAATTGTCAACATTATGGGTTGCAATTTGGTGGCATTAATGGGGTGGCAAAATTGGTCAAATTTGGCCACCAAATTGTTGAAAATTTTGGATGGTAAAACTATGCAATTAGTCATTATAATTTAGGGTATTTACAAATTAGTCCTTAAAGCTTCAACTATAAATACCCTAGCTCATTTAGCTTCAAAACCATCCCAAAGCATTCTAGCTTTCTTCCAATACTAGAGAGAATTTAGAGAGTTTCTTGAGAGTTGTTTTCTCATTTTTATCGAGAGATAATTATCATTGTTTTCTCCTTGGTAGATCGAGAGAGGTTGTAATTCCTATTTTCTCATAGTGAAATTCTTCTACCGTTGCCCGTGGTTTTTACCCTATTTTATTTAGGGGTTTTCCACGTAAATTTTGTGTCTCTTTTTATCTTCATTTTTATTTTCTCAAATTATCATACGATTGATGTACTCTAATTTGGTTTTAATACAAGAGAGATATCAATATATTTAATTGCAGTCTGCATCACCGACTATGCTTAAACTTATAACTTCCATATTGTTGTAGCACCAACTATGGTAATTCAACTAATATTTTAAGATGGTATCAAAATATTAGGGGGTGACCAATAGCAAATAACCCTCGTTTATTCCAAACCCACCTTCTTTCCCATTCTATATAAAGCCCCCAAACTCCATCGTTTCCCACACCAAAGCAAAACAAAGTGATGTTTCAGTATCCAAACACTGAAACATTTCTGGGGAATGGGGATTACATACGTATACCTAACTAGGGAATTAGTCTTAAAACAACAGCTACAGGGCATGGGGTTTGGTCGGTCTGCTAAAAAAAGGGATTTTAGGGTAAGGGAGGTGACAGAAGAAAGTGAGCACCCAGGATACTTTCTTGCATGCTCAAGCCTTTTTATGCTTGAAGCTCTGCGTGCTCACTCTCTATCTGTCATCCACTTCTCTCTCTCTCTCTCTCTTTGTTCTTCAATTTTATTATCTGTTTAAAGACTAGCTGATTTGTAGGGGTTTCTGTTTATTTTCCATGGGCTTACTGTGCATATGTATTGATTCATTAACGTTAATCTAGGGTTTCATTAACTGCATATTAAATCTTATAAAGACTCCTTGACCGGATCTAAGTTATACATATCTGAGTAAAGGTTTTTTTTTATATGTTTTATAATTATGGATATATGGTTTATATTCCAGACGTCAGCGCCGGCATGTTACTGTATCTATATGTATGTACTTAGGTTGTTCTCATGAAGGTGCAGGTGCAAGCAATGATGGATCTCAGCAGTTGTGTCAACTGTACAAGCAGACATGGATGGAGGTCTTACAGAATCTACAAGCTTTCGTTATATCTGAAAAATCAACTGTTTGATCAAGCAAAAAGGCCTTTCGAATCTCCTCAAATGAACCAGACGATGAAGTTGGAACTTCTTAATTAAGAATAAAGAAGGCCATCAGTTTCCTTTTTTGATTTTCCCCAGTGTTGACTTGATTTATTCGATATTCCTTACTTTGCAAAACCAATCCAGAAAAGGAAAAGAGAGAACTATATATATAAAAGAAAACATGTTTTGTCTTGTAAGATGTCGCATTTATGTAAGTTCTTTTATTCTTCCAGGTTCGTTCTTGTCGTTATTTGGTGAAGCATTGAGGTAGATTGATCGATTGTTATAATATGATTGACATTTTAGTAAATTTATAGATGGTTAAAAATTTAGGAATTCATAAATCAGTTTATTTTAGTGATTAAAAGATGATTATTATTTTTATAAAATTTTCAAATATCAAGAGATTACAATGATATTTAAATTTTTATTATTAAAGGATTATAAATCTTTAAAATAAATATAACCTTATATTTACTATAAATTATATAAAAAAAATTGGTTATAAGTGATAATATGACTTCTTTTATAGAGTGTGAGTTTCAACGTGTAAAGGAAGGCTTAATGACAACCTTTTGCCCTCAAAATTTTAGATTATTTTACTTCCTAATTTATTTTAGTTTTTAAATTTTTACTTTTTATTAAATCAAACTAATTAATGAGAAAAATATCGAACTAGTTAAATTTGCATTTATTATTTTATTTTATTAACAACTATATTAGTTATTTTATCTTTTGTTCGCAAAATAAAAACTTTAAATATTTAAAACTTTAAATAAACTCAATTAAATCTATTCCTTATTAACTTTTTCCATCAATTTAAATTTATTATTATTTAAAATTTATTATTGATAAAAATATGAAAAAAATATATTTTAAAAATATTAAATTGAATAGTTTTTAAATATATATTTTATAAAATTTAATTATTTAAAATATTTAAAATAATCATGGTTAAAGTTTAAAAAATTTAACTTTTTAAAAAGTTAATAAGGGATACCTTTAGTATAACAAAGGGAGTATATAATATCTAAATACTAATTTAAAAAATATATATTCTTATTAATCTAAGGTGATTACAAGTAATATTTGTTCTAAATATTCTTAACCATTTAACAATGAAAGCTCAAACACATTTGTGGTCTCTGATGCTCGAACTTAAGATCTCTAATCATTTCTTTAACCACTAAGGTAATTCGGTAAAATATATTTTTTAAAAATTATATAAAAAATATCATTAGGACAACAAAATAATTTAGGTGACGATCAAGCGTTAGTGAATTCAGGCATGATCTCGTATCGTAACTTAACACACTCCAAACAACAATTCATAACTTAAAAAGGAAGGAATTTCAGAAGGGGGAATTAGGGTTTTCGGCCTTGCTGAAGTTGTTTCAAGAAGTACACAAAACGAGGCGGTGGAGGACTGCCCTTTGAGGAATATGTTATACATCTAACAATAATACAGGAAGTAAATTTTCAGTTCTTAAAAATAATTAGAAAAAAAAAGGACTGCTAATTGTTCTGCAATCACAAACATGTAATAAGGCTTGTTTCTCTTTTTGTTTTCTGGATAAAAAATAAGGGTTGCATTTTGCAAGCACTAAAAAGACACTGTACATGTACAGATTCCCTATGTTATATTGTATAATCCGACATCTTTCCCTCTCCATCTTGTTTTATTTCCTTCAATCCATCAATCTAGTCTTGAACTTCATTCGGAACTTGAAGTCATACTCGATGATTCCTAGCCAATAAACAACAAATCTAATGTAAGAAAACCAGGTTTCAAGAATAATGTTTTTGTAACGTATCTAATTAATAACTATAATAGATCATTCTCAAACCTGATCTTCTGAAGGTATCCTTGACCTCGAAAGGGGACCGCGACTATTACTACGATCGCGAGGTTTGGACCTCATTCCCAAATCTCTTAATCGATTAAGTTCCGGCACTATAACAGTGCCAAGATCCGGTCTGTCCTTCTTCCTCAGCTCTACACACTTGAGTGATAATTGAGCAAATGATAAAGCCTCTTCAAGTGGCCAATTCGGCACGGCTGGATCAAGTACATCGGCTAAAGTTCCTTTTTCAATGGCCTTTGCAACATGGTGAGCAATACCCATTGGAGGCTTGGCCGTAATAATCTGGAGAAGCATTATTCCAAGTGAATATATGTCTGATTTAGTTGTTAGCATGCCCGTTTGTTGATATTCAGGATCTATGTAACAGAATGTCCCTGCAGCTGAAGTCATGTAATATTGTGTCACACTGTCAGCTACAGAAGGTGGAACTAGCCGTGCTAGGCCGACATCAGCGATCTTGCTCACATAATTACGGTCTAGGAGAATGTTAGCCGGCTTAAGATCCCTATGCACAAGTGGTTCTGGCTTTGCTTGGTGAAGGAATAGAAGGGCAGTCGCGATTTCAGCAGCTATATTAAATCGTTTCCTCCATGAAAGTGGAGGAGTATTTCCCCTTCGAAATAGCCTATCCTCTAAGCTGCCATTCAACATGTATTCATATACCAAGCATCCATATTCGGGACAGGCACCAAGGAGAAGGACCATGTTTGGATGTCTCATGCAGCAAAGAACCTCAACCTGTATAGGTTTGTTGCATAACAGAATATTAGCTTAAGACAACCATGCCAACAACATCTTTGGTCTTTAACAAATGCAAAATTCTAACATGACACTTACCTCTTGCTGGAACTGTTTCTTTCCTTGAGCAGCATCAGGTCTTAAAACTTTTATGGCAACGGGAGTGTGATCAAGTTTGCCTTTAAAAACAGGCCCATAACCTCCTTCTCCAATCTTATTTGATGCTGCAAAATTTTCAGTAGCTTCTTCAATTTCTTCGATGCTATATTTTCGGTACCGGACATCATTTTTTGCCAAAACGTTCAAAGCCCGAGTCTTCTCGTCAGACTCCTTCTTGGCTTTAAGCTCTGCTTGTCTTCTTCTATGTGCTTCTATCTCCGCCAATCTCCGCGATGCCTTGGCTGCTTCCATGGCAGATTTGCATTTAGCCTTCTCCTTCTCTGCCATGGCAAGAGCTGCCTCTCCAGCTTGCCTCGCTTCCTCAAACTTGCGAGCCTCCTCCATTTTCCACTGATGAAGTTCATCAGCCTGGACTAACAAATTCAATTATGTTCTCAAATTGATGTTCTTATAATATATCGGTTATATTGGTTTTAGATTACCTTTCTTTTGGCTGTAAGAGCTTCTTTGCAAGCTGTGCTGTACAAATCCATGGTTTGCTTAAGTTCAAGCTTCAACCTTCTCATTTCAGCTTCCATGTCTCGCTGCAATTCATGACCATGAACGTTAGCAGTTCTGCTATTAAATAGAAAAAGCTGTGCTGTTAAAAAAATCCATCTGCATGTGAGTTCTTCTTACTGTGCCTCGAGGAACCTGTCCCGTAGGGGTAGCGGAAACCATAGAAAAATCTAAATTTTGGTCAGTCATATCTACAGATCCATGGGAAAATAAGTTTGAAAAATCCGTATCGATTGATAAAGTATCTTGGCTAGATGAAGGCTGTCCCGCTCGCATAGCTGCATCAAGGTCAAGTGACATATTTGCAGGCGAGCCTTTTTTTCTGTCACGGTCACGCATAGGTAATTTTGGGGGACTACCCATCGATACTGATACTCTATCTGCTCCTCCATTTCTCGACTCTGCCTTACCAAATTGTCGTCTGTTTAAAAGATCCAATGTCAATAACAAAGGCAATCACCAATTCAATCAACAGTAATAATGTAAACCGATCCCCCCCCCGGCACCTGATTCCATCTTCATCAAGTTGATCCGAAGGAAAATGCTGTGGCAATCCAAACAGCGCCTTTGGTGGGGTAGCAGTGTTCGAAACAGGCCGCTGTGCGGTTCGCATGGTCAATACCTTACCTTTGGAAATCACATACACGGAACAAAATTCCGGTGCACTTTTGATAATGTTTGCGGGTATGTCATTCTTGGATTTCCTATAGTTTAAGTAACTGAAAACTTTTATTGTTAGAAGATGACAGAGAGAGATATCAATTTACTCAATTTGTTCTTGAATCAAGAAGGAAGATTGTGCTACTTAACCTTGATAAACTATTCCTTGTTGTTGCACCAATAACCAGGTTGTTAATCAAGTTTTTGCTGACATATTCCAGAAGGGCTCTGCAGACATCAACATCTTCCAGGATAACCTCCTTCAACTGAATCTGAAATTGACAGTGATTTATATATTAGTCAATTACAATGGTTTAAATTTTGAATAAGTTCGATCGGTTTTTCAATTGTATGATTTAAGATTAGGTGTTCTCCAAGATAACCGCTTACCCCTTTGCGTGCGCAGTAGCCGCGAAAAGGAATGAAAAGCTGGTTTATGTCATAATCAGATTCGTTTTCACCCTCTGCGTGTTGATTTAAGAAATCAGAAAAAACAACGTGTTCTCTAAACATTAATCGGGTACATACGATAACTCTTTTAAACCACCTTATCAAATAATAATCTACTGTTGAGAATAATATGAGATAAGAGAGAGAATACCGACGGTTTTTATGTTTAACATGGATCAAGATGATGAATGGATTGGTGATGACAGGATGATCGATAGCCCAACGTACAGCAAGGGGGCTGTTTTTATCTTTGTCGATGGCCACCGCCGTGGTGTGGCCCGGTACGTTGTCGTCAGAAGAGAAATTAGGAGCCATTTAGGGGAAACGAATCAATAACTTAAGTTGCCACCACCGTCACAACCACCAGGCCAAAGCGTCCTCCACCTCCTGTTATTTAACCTTTTCTTTTACGAAATAAAATGGAAATGTGCGAGGGTGATTTCCCCCCTGGTGTTTCGGGGTGTAATGTAATGCAATATTTCGTCGGGTAATGAAACTTGTGAGAATCTATTTCCGCCATTGCCTTGTTTTAGACAATTCAACCTGGCCCGTTCCTTCGAAAACTGTATTGTAAAACCAAACGAATTTAATAATAATAATAAAATAAAAATATTATTGTTATCTTACGAATCGAGTTGGATTTTAATATTTTAATTGGATTTAAGTTTGATCAGGAAAGAAGCTACGTAATGATTAGGAGGAGGAGTTGCCCCTTTTAAAAATTTTAGTGTAATAATATTTTAGGTCATTTTTAGTTTAAATATTATTCAAACGAGGTTATTATCTCTCTTAATTTTTAAATTTAAATTATTAATATATTTTTATTCTTTTAATATAAATTTTTTTATCCTCTCAACATTTGATTCTAACTTCGTACATAAATTTAATAATTTTTATATGTCATTCAATCTAATCCGAGTTTAAAAAGTTTCATTTGACTCGAAACTCAATTCAATTTTAAGTTAAATCCGCATATATATATAATTCTCATTTTTATTTAGTAAAATAAAGACTCTAAACATATAAAGATCAATTATATTTATATTCGAATTAAATTGAATATTTTCTTATATTTTAAATCGAAAATCTATCAAAATCCAATTTTTATTTTAAAGAATAAAATTTTTAAATCGTATCAAAATCTATTAAATTCATGTCAAATGATTATCCTATAACTACGAGTTATGGGGGGGAAGAGCCCTAAAGTCGTTTGAAAGTTGGTGCAACTCTTCCTGGAAGGCTATTTCGGTAAAAGAATCTTCCGGAGATCCCGCCCCGCCCCCCGGACCACCCTTTTCGTGGTCTGAGGCCTAATTAAGTCGGAATGTATGAAGTTAGTCAATAGTTTCTTTGAATCATGATGCAGTAGTGGTTGACCCTCTTTTGAAGAAGGAGAAGGATGCAACCCAAACAAAAGCAAATGGAACACGAATTGGCCCAGAACTCTTACTCGATCCGTTCTGTGCTGAGAAGCCATGTCCCGAATATATCAAACGCAAGTATCGGTATCAATCGAGTAAAATTTATGGAATTTTCTAATTATTTAATAAAACACATATTATCTTATATTCATTTTAAACTATTAAAAGGAAAAACACACACCCGGAAAGAATGCAGTGAGAAATGGGTTTCGGCCAAACCCAGGAAGATTTGGAAAATTCAAGCAGTTCCATGGATCATCCAGCTGCAAAAGGTACAGCCTGGTAAAAGACTCGTTCAACAACTAATGTTACTAATCAAAACGCATGGTCATGCTTTACCTTTCTCTTATTTTCAAATTTTGGCAGAAACAAAAAGCAGCAGAAAATGTTGAAAATGCTTCCTCTGGGTACCCACTTGAGCCCTGTTGTTGACTAAATGAAGTAGCATTCAGCACAGCGGTAATCAAGCAATTAAGCTCCCATAGGCTTCATTTTAGAGCTTTTGAAATCCATATTGTGTTGACACGTCTATTATTATCGATTTATTATAAATATTTAATTATATTACTATGAATGTCAATGTCAGTTAATCATCAAGCAAGCCAATCATTAGTTAACAGAGCATATACATGGTATTGCCAATGCCATGACTCAAGCCACCGATTTGTGGGCCTTACATTTCAAAATGAGAGTAGTACGGGTAGCACGGGTCACAGACATAAGGCGTAATATTTATGTCTTTCTTTTAATATTTTGTAATAATTTATATGATTTCTATTTTATATACGTTTTTGTCATAGAATTTAAAAAGATTTAGAACTAGATAGCAGAGTAGTGTTGTCTTAGTTTAGGTTTTAACCCATTTGACTTTATTCATTTCGTAGCTTGTTATCATTGACTTCTGCGTAACCTTATCTTCAGGTTTCCTCTTTTTAAATTTATCCGGTCTTACGTTTCTGTCTATATGCAGAGATTTTTACGCATGAATTTATTTGTAGGGATTACTTCCATTACAGACGCGCATATAAGACTGCATATGAAAACTGTTCAACTATGTATTTATTTATTTATACATGCATTTTGCATTTATCTTTATTTTTAATTTTCTTACTGTCAGATATCTTCCACGGAAGCTGCTCTCTATCCTAACGTTGGGGGAAGCTACTACCCTACCTCCCCTTACCTCATTGCATATGGGAATATAATTTTATTGTTGTTGTTGTTCCATAAATTATTATTTTTATTCATAATTTCCTTTTTTTTTCTATAAGCATCTACATAACTAAGTCTAACTCAAGTTGAAAATTGGAGTTTAAATTATCCAAATATCATCATAAAAAATGGAATATTAAAATAACTTTTATTTTCAATCAAAATAAGATAATAATTTAAATGTTAGATACGATAAAAATTCGTTTAGTTAATTATGCTTTTAAAAGGCATAGTTAACTGATATATTTTTACCTTATATGTCACATCCGGTTAATAAATGACAAATATTTTATTAAACGATATAAAAAGATATGTTTGATAAATACAACTTTTACATTTTAAATAAAATTTTAATTATAAAATATTAAAATAAAGAGAAAGATATGTTCAAGTAAAAATTATACAAATTTTATTTTAAAAAACATGCACATACATATAAAAAACATATGAGCACAACTGCACAAATATAAAACAAGCAATAATACACATATACATAAATGTTGTTTTAATATTATAAGCAATACACATGTATAAATGTTGCTTTTAATTGCATAAAATGTTGTTTTTAATTATTTAACGAATACATATTTAAAAATTAATATTTAATTAATAGTATATTTGTATTAAACATTAACTTTATAAGCATTTTCTTATTAAATGAATGGAGATAAAATTTATACGTATATGTTATTGCATGACTTATAATCACATTAATACTTATCTTCGATATGTATCTTATATTTTCTTCCTTTTGAACATAATTTGTATATTTTTTCAAATATATTATTTTTATTTATGTATATTTTCAATTTCAAATAAATAATTAATAGCTAATATTATTTTTAATATTTACTTATTTTTATGACGATATTGGAGTCATTTAGCCGCTGAAATTACCATACCGGACAAACAAAAAAGAAAAGAAAATGGGAAAATCCACGTAATTCATTTGCACCGCCCCCACACCTACGGCCTACGACCTTCATTAACTGAAAATGTCAAAGGTTTGACTTACTATTTTTCAGTTTAAAATTGTGAAATTAAAATGGAAATTATAAATATTTATAAGCATCTATTAAAATTTATTTGTAATTTTTCTGACAAATATCTTTAAAATTATTGGTATTCCATCCATTAATGGATCTTAAATAGAATCATGAAGTGAATCCAGACGAGACATGTAAACTTAACATTATTATAATTATTAAAAATAAATTTGATAGATAAATATTAAAGCCTTCTCTTTTTAACAGCTGAAGTATGTCTTTTGATTATTTGTTTTCTATACCATTATTGTATTAACCACTTGTGTCGTATTTGACTTTACTTTTAATATTAAATTATTAAAAAAAACTCACGTTACACGCAATTTGAAAATGGATGATTGAATCTCTTTGCGTTCACACTTACTCCAATCTTTTCACACCTCTCTCCAAACCCCACGAGAAAAAGGGAAATCATAAATTAAAAATCATCCTTTTTTTATTAATTTATTTCTTCATTCTGCTCTTAATTTCGTTTTCTTTTCATATATAAAACACTCGGCTCCGCTATCCCAAAAGAACGATTTTTTATTATTATTTTGTTTTTATCTCAACCTTTTGCTTTGAAATGAATAACGGTGACAATTACAAGCGGCGCCGGAAGGATACATTTTCCGACGATGAAGATAGCTGTTCCGCCGACCACAAACCCAAGAAGAAAGATTTGAATGGTATCATCACTTCGTTACTGTTGCTTGAAGAGCAAGAAAAGCGAGACCACGAAGAGCAAAATGAGGCATCCAACGAAGAGAAATCGATTTTGGAGTCGAATCACAAGAGAAAAACTCGGACCATGCTCGAATTTTATGCCAATATCCAAGATTACTACTCCGAAATCGACGAGACCGACCGTATGAAGCGGAAGAAATCCCGGGCCATGGCAGCTTCCGTCGTTGCCGCCGCTGCCGTTAGCCAAACGGAAAACCAATCACCCAATCAACAAAACAAACAATCCGGGTCTGGTCAGCAAAGGCGATTATGGGTGAAAGACAGATCCAAGGCTTGGTGGGACGAGTGTAACCGACCCGATTACCCGGAAGAAGAGTTCAAGAAGGCGTTTAGGATGAGCAAGTCAACGTTCGAGCTCATCTGCGAAGAGCTGAACTCCGTTATCGCCAAAGAAGACACGACTTTACGGACCGCCATCCCCGTTAAGCAGAGAGTGGCGGTTTGCATTTGGCGGTTAGCAACGGGCGAACCGTTACGGCTCGTTTCGAAACGGTTCGGTTTGGGCATCTCGACGTGTCACAAGTTGGTCCTCGAAGTCTGTTCTGCGATACGCAGCGTTTTGATGCCGAAGTATTTACACTGGCCGGACGAGGATTCGTTGCGGGAAATAAAAGAAGAGTTCGAGGGCATTTCAGGGATACCAAACGTCGTCGGATCAATGTACACGACGCACATCCCGATTATAGCACCGAAGATAAGCGTGGCGGCGTATTTCAACAAGAGACACACGGAGCGGAACCAGAAAACCTCGTACTCGATCACCGTACAAGGCGTCGTTGATCCTAGGGGAGTTTTCACAGATGTTTGTATAGGGTGGCCAGGTTCGATGAACGACGACCAAGTGCTTGAAAAATCAGCTCTGTATCAAAGAGCAAACGGGGGATTACTGAAAGGAGTTTGGATCGTTGGG